GAAGGCTTAAGGTTTAGGGTTTAGAGTTTAAGGTTTAAGGTTTAGGGTTTAAGCTTTACGGTTTTGGGGTTTAGGGTTTAGGGTTTAGGGGTTTAGGGTTTAGGGTTTTGTGGTTCAGGGTTTATAGGGTGTAAGGTTTTGGGTTTTGGGGTTTTGAGTTTAGGGCAACACGGGGAGGGGCGCCGCTGGGTTTTTTGATGGTTCGCTACAGGGCGTTAGAGGGTTGTATGGGGTTTGTTGTAGTCTTGAAGTGCCTGAAAAAACTGACAGCTGTTCCATATGGTTTCTTACTGTATAAGTAGTCTCTACAAAAAAGCCCGCAGCCCTAGTCTAAGGTTCTGGGATTAGACCAGGTTTCGGGGCTTTGGCTTTAGGGATGATGTCTTGGTTTGTTTAGGGTTTAGGGTTGAGGGTCTGGGGTTTAGGGTTTGGGGTTGAGGGTTTTTTGCATGGTCGTCGGCCATAACATTGAGAATGCGCATGGATGCTGCGAGCAAGTTGGCCGAATGTGCTGGCCTGAACTATTGGTAGCAGCATCCCCTTAGTGTCGCGACGGACTCATACAGTCCTAAACCCTAAACCATAAACCCTGTCACATGGACTTTCGGGTGTGCAGCTGGATAAAGTGCCCGGTTCAAACGTAAAAAACCCTAAACCCTACACCCCGCAACGCTCTTCTGGTTTTGAAGTCCCCTAAAACAATTCCTCTTTTCTATCACGGGGTGCATTGTGCTTGGAGCCCGGCCGTCCGAAAAGCTCAGACACCCAAGCTTTAAACAAGTGAAGCCCGGGAACTTTGCCCTAAACCCCAAACCCTTAACCTTAAACCCTAAATCCTAAACCCTAAACCTTAAACCCTAAACACTAAACCCCCAAATCCTAAACTTTAAACCCTAAACCCCCAAACCCTAAACCCTAAACCCTGAACAACCCCAGACCGAGAGCTCGAAACCCTGAAGCCCTGAGCCCCAAAATCAGGTCGATAGGGAGACTTCCAGTAATACGCCGGAGGATATCCAAAAAGTCGCCAGCCCGGCCTGGGTTTAGACATTCTTGCTGAGGTTCTTGGGTGGGGCGGGGGGAGGGGGGGTGTGGGTTTAGCTTAGGGTTTTTGTGGCGTTTGGAGCTCAACCCTAAACCCTAAAACCCTAAAGCCCTAAACTCTGAACCCTAAAACCCTAAACCCTATAAACCCTAAACCGTTTTGTTTTGGGATGTCATGGTCTCAAGGCCGCTTCAGGATTTGGGGCTCTTGCTTGCTATGCCCCCCAGGCTGAACCGCTACAGACCCTGAGCCTTTCAATAGCGTTTGGGGTTTAGGCCGTTTGGGTTTAGGCGGTTTAGGCGGTTTAGGGGTTTAGGCGGTTTAGGGGTTTAGGGGTTTAGGGGTTTAGGGTTTAGGGGTTTAGGGGTTTAGGGGTTTGGGGTTTAGGGGTTTAGGCTTTAGGGCGTCGTACCGCACGCCCATGGCAGGTCATGGCCGACGATGGGTGGGGCAACGTGGTGCAGATACCCTCCATTTTGGTGAGCAAGTCGCAGACTCAGGCTAAAAGGCAACAGAACTCGAAGCCCCCTAAACGGAAACGCCAAAGAGCCCTCTTAGCCTAAAGCCTAGCAGCGTGAACCCCCAAACCCCGGAAAGCTCGCCTAGACATGAGCCTAAACCTCTTCCCTAAACCCTAAACCCTAAACCCTAAACCCTAAACCCTAAACCCTACTACAGCGGACGCCCCCAAAGCTTCCCTTCTCCGAGGCCATCTAAAGTAAAGCTCCGTTTTTGTACCCCGCCTCGATAGAAAAATCCTGGATTGGGTTGAGGTCTCTGCGCAATACTAGAAGTGGCATAGTAATAGTAGGTACGGAATCGGATTTAGCTTCTGGAGTTGTTAGTCTCCGCGAGCCATAAATCGGCGGGGACCTGTGGGGATCGGGCTAGGGTTTTTTGGTTTTCGGGAGGGGCTGTGGTTGTTAACCCTAAGCCGTTAGACCAATATTCATGATGCTAGTCAACAGAAGCCTTCACGGCGATAGCGATACTGCCGCAAAGCAACAAACAAAGGGAGTATTTGCACAGATAGCAACAGTAGTACCAATCACAATAATAAGCATAAAGATGCGTGCAGAAGTCATGTCAAAGACCATCAGAAGCATAGTACTACTTACCATGTAATCATAGCAGCCGTAAAGTGGTGGCAAGAGTAGTGCTAAGACGAAAAGCAATAGTTATCCTAGTGCTAGTGATCGTGATACTGACAGTAAACCCTAAACCCTTTTTCACTTGCCGGTAGCTTCTTGAGGACGGAGGGGCAGCTCCTAATCGATGCTGCCAAGCACGAGACCGTGATGGCTGCTGCCTTACGGGGAATTTCGGTTTTAGGCTTAGGGTATGGCCATTAAATCCTAAACCCCTACTTAAGCGCCTGAAGGTTGAGGTTTAGGGGTTCGGGATTTAGGATGCTAGATTTCGTGTCCAGGCAGCATTCTGCTTTTTGCACAGGCTTGTGGGCCAAAACCGCCTGTCGTATTCTTGCTCGACGTTTTTACTGCCACAAACCCCTCTGGAGCCGCGCAGGGAACATGGAAACCCCAAGCCGTAAACCTTTCCCCCAAACGGAGCCCTAAAAGGAAGCCTAAACCCTAAACCCGTAAAGGAACCCTTTGAAGGAAGACCTTCTACAACCCTTCAAGGACCAAGCAAACAGTCAGAGGGAACTCTTCAAAGAAACCCCTCAAGGAAACCCTTAAAGGAAGCCTGAAACGTAATGTAGGGGTCTTAATACTTGGAAGAGGGTTTTGGGCTCCTTTATGCTACAGTTATAATCAGGAAACTCCACAAAATAGTATAGGTAATCATTCTGAGGCCCCTTTAAGGGAACCCAAAACCCTAAACCCTAAACCCCTGAACCCTAAACCCTAAACGCTGTTAGGGCTTCCTGTAAGGAAGCTTTTGGTGTGCCAATCCCGGCCTCCAGGGCTTCCAGGTAGTGCAAGTTGCCAGCCGAGGGCGAGAGGCTGTACGTCCTGGGGATGGACAGGTGTAGGGTTTAGGGTTGAGGGTTTGCGGGTTTAGGGGTTTAGGGTTTAGGGTTTTAGGGTGGACGGTATTAGTGTTGAGGGTTTAGGTTTTGAGGGCTTTGGGGTTTCAAGAGGGGTTTAGTTTCTTCATTCGAAATGTGGCTCTTTTGTAAAAGGGTGTTTCCGAGTTACTAGACAGGTTAGTTTAGGTTCCTTGCGACAAGCGGTTTAGGGTTTTAGGGGAGAAGACATTATTGGAGGGGCCTATGAAAGCGATTTGTAGGGGTTCCAGTTCTATTTGGTAGTAAAAGGATCTACAGATGGGATCTAGCAGGGTTCTACTAGGGCTTAAAACTAGTTAGAATAGGTTTCCTGTAAAAGCCCACACGAGTTTCTACAAGGGTTTATTTAGGGTCCTGGGTATAGAAGACTTTAGTATGCAGGCTTAGGAGGTACCGTAGGGGATTTAGCATAAGGGCTTTTCAAAGGATCTAATATCAGAAGGGATCTAATATCAGGGCCATCATAATTTCAATAGGGTTTTGGGTCCAGTATACTTATAATAAGGACCCCCCCAAAAAAAAACAAAAAAAATTGGTAATTACTTAGGCACCTAAGTACATATGGGTTACTATAAGGGTTCTGCATAGACCTGAATGCACAGGGGCCTTTATGATCAGAAAGATCAGGGTTCCTGCAGGGGCTTCTTTTGGAGTAAGAGTTGCCTTTGGGGGGCCTTACCCAGAGACTCCAATACCCCTTAATTGAGGAATACCTACTATAATTTAAGATATATTCCTTAATTTAGGCATATTGGAGTCTCTGGGTAACATGAATGCAGGAGCCTTATGCTCAGAACAGGCTTCCTTTCAACTTTAAAGGGTTCTACCTGGGTTACTGCAGCAGCTTCATAGGAGGAACTCATACTTCCACAGAGCGCGGGTTCTACCCCGAAAGCTCAAAACCCCTGACTTCAGGAATACATTCTTTAGGGTTTAGGGTTTAGGGTTATAAACTACAGTAACACCATTAAGCCCGCCACAGTTTTAACTTAAGCCCTAAATCCACAGCCATCAGGCAGACTGTCAGAGTGAACGATTGAAGGCTAAGCCGTCTCATATTCCTGATTATGCTTTCTTTTGAAGTCCTGCAAAAAGCAGGGTTGGGGTGTTCAGGTAGCCCTAAAGGTGCGGTTGGGGCCAGCTGCAGAAAGAACAAAACCTCTACACGAAGCCCAACAGAGACGCTGTGAAGGGTCTGGGGCAATTGCCTGGATTGTTTTGGTTTACGGTTTAGTGTTTAGGGTTTAGGGTGTGGGTGCAGTGTTTTGGGTTTCACCCTAGGAATAATGTGGGTCATTGTTCCGGCCGCTATAGTTCCCAAGTGCTCTTTGAAGGGAGGCATTAAATATGCTTTCGAGGGATTCCTAGAAGCTGTGCTCAGGTCGTAAGAATTCTTCACAGGCGTAGGCTTTCGGTTTTGGGTATGTGTAGGATCTTTCTTGGAGTCTTATGTTGGAACGGTTTAGGGTTTAGGGTTTACGGTTCAGTGTTTAGTGCTTTGGGGTCCTTCAATTTCCTTTCCGTTTTGGCTTGCGCTGCCAGTGCAACTGACAACTGAAGCATAAGGAACACCTTTGCTTCCCAGACAAGTCATACCGCTTACTTCAGGAATATACCCTAAATTAGTTATGAACCCTGAACCCTAAACCCCTAAACCCTGAAACCAGGTGCATTTCTTAATTAAGGGGTACTTGGGGCTGTCTTGTCCCGCAACCCCCCGTCGAAACCCTGAAGATCCTTGCACGGAGCTCTTAAGAACAAAACACCCTTAAAGGAAGCAATATAAGGGCCTTAATAATTAGAATAGGGTTTTAGGGGTTCCTTATTATAATTATAGTATAGTAGACCCCAAAACCCTATTCTAATTATTAAGGCCCCTACATTAGGAACTGTTTAGCAAGGAGCTGCTAAACAAAAAGAACTTTCTAGGAACCTGTAGAGGGACACTGCTTGGAACCCGTGAAAGCCGGAACCCGCTGCGGGTTCGGCTGCGGTCTCTGCTCCGCAGCCGCAGCCGCGGCTCGGATCGCCTCTCCCTCTCAGCACGGCGCTCCGGCTCCCGAGTCTCACGCCGCTCCGGCTCCCGAGTCTCACGCCGCTCCGGCTCCCGAGTCTCACGCCGCTTCGGCTCCCGAGCCTCACGCCGCTTCGGCTCCCGACGACGCTCCGGCTCTCGAGTCTCACGCCGCTCCGGCTCCCGGGTCTTTGGAGGCCGGAGCTCCCGAGTCTCCCGAGGCCACTCCGGGGCAATCTCCGGCTCGGCCGGTCGTTGCGACCCACAGCCCTGTTCATGCTGCTCTTTGTCCGCTTTTTGGTAGAAGGATTTGCCGCAAAAGCGGCAGTTGTGATCCTTTTTCGGCTGCTCGGCTTTCTGATATGCCAAGCAGGCACTGCTGGAAAACAGATGTAGATACAGCGTATTCCGGGGTTTCGTTAGCCAACACACCGGACAGCGAACGCTTTCGTCCGCTCCACGGACGTCGTGGACCGGCAGCTTCGAAATGTAGAATGGAGCGACTATCAGTACCCAGAGACTCCGATACCCCTTAATTAAGGAATATACCTTAAATCATATTAGGGATCCCTACTATACATTAGGGATCCTGCTATACTTTAAGGTATATTCCTTAATTTAGGGGTATTGGAGTCTCTGGGTATTCAAGGAGAATCCCGATTGTACTTCTTGAGGCCCCAGGATCCTTCAAGTAGAGATATCCCTGAAAGGAGCCTTGAGAGTCTCCCACTTGGAGGTTCATGGGACTTAGTAAGTACAGTTATAAGTACCCTAATTGGGGTTATAAGTAATTATAAGTATAGTTACCTTCTTTATAACCATAGTTACTAAGTCCCATGAACCCCCAAGTAGAGATGCCTTTAACCCAGAGACTCCCATGTCTCTTAATTAAGGAATATACCTTAAATCATATTAGGGATCCTACTATATATTAGGGATCCTACTATAATTTAAGGTATATTCCTTAATTAAGGGACATTGGAGTCTCTGGGAACGAGCTTCTAGAAACCCCTAGTTGGAGGGTCGGGGGACTTAGTAACTAGCTATTCTTATAGACTTCTAACTATCAGAACCCCAATGAGGACCCCTTCTAGGGTACTTCTAAGTCTGCTTCCAACCTAATTACTAAGTCCCCCGACCCTCCAAGTATAGATCCCTGTCAGGGAGCCTCAAAAACCTCCCTGAAAGGACGACCCCTAATCCCTAAACCCTAAACCCTACATCCCTAAACCCTAAACCCTAAACCCCCAAACCCTAAACCCCTGAACCCCTAAACCCCCTAAACCCCTAAACCCCCAGGAGGCCTTGGCTATACCTTGAAGTATAGTAGGATCCCTAATATGATTTAAGGTCTATTCCTTAATTAAGGGGTATTGGAGTCTTGGAGTCTCTGGGGACCCCCCCCCCCAAACCCTAAACCCTACACCCTAAACCCTAAACCCTCAACCCTAAACCCTAACCTGGGGACCCCCCCCCACCCCCCCCTTCCCCCCAGGAGGCCTTGGCTCGGGCCCATACACCTGGTCAGGGAGGGAAGCTTGTCAGATTGGGGTCCCCTTAAGGGTCCCCTTTAAGGGTCCCCTTGAGGGTCCCCCTAAGGGTCCTCTTAAGGGTCCCCCTAAGGGTCCTTGTATTAGGGTTTAGGGTTTAGGGGGAACTTGCATCTGACAGAGGCCGGGAAGATATGGGTCCCGGGGTAGGGTTTAGGGTTTAGGGTTTAGTGTTTAGGGTTTAGGGTTCCTGTATGGTATCTACAATAGAGGATCTTTAGGGTTTAGGGTTTGGGGTTTGAGGGTAGTTCTCTAAATTAGGGTCCACTTTTAGGGTCCTTTTTATAAGGGTGCCGTACTATATTTGGGAGCCAGAAAGGGATCCTAATTTAGAGAACTACCCATATGTATGGCTTAGGTAGGGTGTGGCCGAAAGGAAAATGTAGGGGACTTAATGATAATTAGAATACGACAGTGGCCTCAGGCCCCTGTCCCCCTTCGAGGCATAACAGGGTTTCGTAAGGACGGTTTCGGGTTTACGGTTTAGGGTTTAAGGGTTTAGGGTTTAGGGTTTCGTAAGGACGGTTTAGGGTTTAGGGTTTAAGGGCTTAGAGTTTAAGGGTTCAGGATTTAGGGGCCAAGCCGCCGCAGTCATGACCACTTCATACATGCTCCTAAACCTACTTGGAGGATCCTAGGCCTGGGTAAGTAGTGATAGTACCACCTTAATTAGGGTTTAGGGCTTCGGGTTTAAGGTTTAGGGTTTAGGGTGATATGTAATTCTAAATATGGTTATCTTATTCATAGCCACCCTAGTTAGTAAGTCCCATGAACCAAAAAGCAGACCCTAAGCCCTAAACCCATAAAGGAACTGCTAAAGGGAACCCTACTATAGAACCCTGTAGCACCCTTTTGAACTAAACCCTACCTATTTAATAGCTCCTTTCTAATCTAAGCCCCAAGAACCTTTAAGTACTCCCTACAGCTCCAAACCCTAAACCCAGGCTTCTGAGGGCTGTCCAACCTTGCCTTCAGACAAACCCATTCGGGTTTAGGGTTGAGGGTTTAGGGTTGAGGGCACTTATGTAGCATGGGCTCCTGTTAAGGAGGTTAGCTTGAGCTACTATCATGTGGAAAGCACTTCATGTCCTACTGTATATCCTAATTCTACACATTTTCTGGTAAGCAACTCATTCTTCATCACGGTTTGCTATAGTATATTAGAACACGGAGCCCTCAAGAACATTATTGCTTCGTGTACAGGCTCATATAAAGTTCCACAGCAGGGGCCGGGGACTTGCAACTCAGACAGTCAGCCTACAGCCTTTAGGGGCAGGCCTCGGTTTTGGGTTTAGGGTTTAGGGTTTAGGGTAAAAGAAAATGAAGCCGTCTGAAACCATGAAGCAAAATTCTGAGTTTACGGCTGCGGCTTCAAGGCCACAAGACTTGCAACTGCGAGAGAAAGCAGGGTCACTCCTTTGCTAGCCACTGTTCAGACATCCTTCAGTTGAGCCTGCACGGCACTATTGTCGCCACCAAAGTTAGCATCGCCCCAAGTCAAGATGGACCCATCGCCAAGACTAGCTGCAAATGCTTCGCCTGTGGATTGGATCTGCTGCACATTCCTCAGCTGGTCCCGCCCGGCATTACTGTCACCTCCCCAGACAGCATTACCCCATGTCACGACAGATCCATCGCCAAGAATGGCAGCAAAAGCTCTGTTTGAGGCTTGGATCTGCTGCACATTCTTCAGTTGATCCTTCACTGCACTACTGTCCCCACCCCAGCTGGCATCGCCCCATGTCACGACGGATCCATCACCAAGAATGGCAGCAAAAGCTCTGTTTGAGGCTTGAATCTGCTGCACATTCTTCAGTTGATCCTTCACTGCACTACTGTCCCCACCCCAGCTGGCATCGCCCCATGTCACGACGGATCCATCACCAAGAATGGCAGCAAAAGCTCTGTATGAGGCTTGAATCTGCTGCACATTCCTCAGCTGATCCTGCACGGCGCTACTGTCACCCCCAAAGTTAGCATGACCCCAAGTCACGACAGATCCGTCGCCAAGAAGGGCAGCAAAAGCGCCGTCAGAGGCTTGGATCTGCTGCACAGTCTTCAGCTGATCCTGCACTGCACTACTGTCGCCACCATAGCCAGCATCACCCCATGTCACAACGGATCCATCGCCAAGAATGGCAGCAAAAGCGAAGCGAGCGGCTTGGATCTGCTCTACATTCTTCAGCTGATCCTTCACCGCACTACTTTTCCCGCCAGAAAAAACACTGCCCCAGGTCACAACGGATCTGTCGCCAAGTATGGCAGCAAAAGCGCTGTTTGAGGCTTGGATTTGCTGCACATTCGTCAGCTGATCCTGCACAGCACCAGCGTCACCACCAAAGTTAGCATGACCCCATGTCGCAACAGATCCATCGCCAAGAATAGCAGCAAAAGCGCCGTTTGAGGCTTGAATTTTCTGCACATTCTTCAGCTCTTCCTGCACGGCAGTACTGTCACCGCCCGAGACAGTATGGCCCCATGTCACGACGGATCCATCACCAAGAATGGCAGCAAAAGCGCCGGCGTCAGCAGCAAAAGCGCCGGCGTCAGGGAGTCCAGAACGTTGAAGTTGAATTTGATTTATGTGCAATGTGAGCGAGTCGCCAGTCTGAACTCTGGCTTTGCTGATTGGCAGATGCGGATCTAGAGCATTTCCGGATGAGTCCAGGAGCCGCCCTTTCCCGACTCCGAAGACGGTCTGTGCTCGACGTGTTAAGTCGTTTACCTCTTCATCTAAGGCAGCTTGCAGGGCAGCTGTTCGGCCACTGAGTAATCCGACTTCCACAGTGACCGACATTTTTAAGGCCGGTGCTGCGTCCTAGACAATGTCCACTCTTATTCTGGTTTGATTCAATGCCCAAGCTTTCGTAATGTACTATATCGCGTGAAGACTCGAGAATTCGAATCGGGTTTTGAGGTATATCATACAATAATCATCTAGGCACGATGCGAGATAGCTTTGCTAATCATTTGCCTACGTGCCTAGCTGCGGCTCGGAAACCACTCAGTTTCGAGTTTAGGGCTCAGGGCTTCAATCCTGGGCGTAATTTGCTTGAGTTTGTAGGCAGCCTGGACCTCAGAGGTCTGGGCAGGCGCTAATCTTCTATGAAGAGATGAGTTCGGCAAGACCCCCCAGTATACCATAACCCGTCATCCAAAACCCTAATCCCATCACCCTGAGCTTCAAGCTATCGACCCCAAGGGATTGAACCTGAAGGCTCGAAGCCATACCTACTTGGAAAATCATGGGGCTTTCTCGTTCCTTTAAGAGTACCATAAGGGCTCGGTACATTTACTTGGATTATCATGAAACTTGGTGAGTAAAGCTTCTTCAGGGTTTTAGAAGGGTACTGTTATTGTTCTGTACGGCTTGCAGGGTTTAGTGAACTTATAAAGTCTGGGGTTATAATCAGTTATAAGTAGTTGCTGCTGTTGATGATATAAATTCCTGCAGTACCTTAAGGGCCCGAAACTATGGGAAGTATGGTCTGTTCCTTATTATGGGTAATGCAGGATTTATATCATCAACCGTACCACGGTTTAGGGTTTAGGGTTTAGGGTAATCAACCGACGTCCCATGATCCTTTTAGGCCCCTAAACCCTAAACCCCTAAACCGTGCTAAAGAATCCTGTCAGAAGAATGCCAAGTTCAGCCTTTAGGGTTTACGGCTTTTCAAGTCGACGCTTCGGACTAGAGCTCTCAAGATAATGGTGTTTAGGACATACTTTTGGGTTTCCTTATTATGATTTCTTTATATAAATCTTTAAAAAGTTAGGTTATTAGGGTTTAAGGACATAATGCCAGGGAGGGTGGTAATCCAAGGTCACGGCTTATGCGCTCTCGCAAGCGTGTGGAGCTGAAACAAAGTTTACCAACACCACACGCATTTCAATCTTTCTCACTCCCTTCTTGGCTACTGTTCAGACATCCTTCAGTTGAGCCTTGCGCGGCCCTGCTGTCTCGGCCAAATAATGCATTCCCCCAGGTGACGACGGATCCGTCGCCAAGAATGGCAGCAAAAGCGCCGTTTGAGGCTTGAATCTGCTGCACATTCCTCAGCTGATGCTGCACGGCGCTACTGTCGCCGCCCCGGATAGCATTACCCCAAGTCACAACAGATCCGTCGCCAAGAATGGCAGCAAAAGCGCCGTTTGAGGCTTGGATCTGCTGCACATTCGTCAGCTGATCCTGCACAGCAGTACTGTCACCACCAGGCCCATCCAGACCCCAGGTCGCAACACTTCCATCGCCAAGAATAGCAGCAAAAGCGAAGCAAGTGGCTTGGATCTGCTGCACATTCTCCAGCTGATCCTTCAGAGCACTACAGTCACCACCATAGCGAGCAACACCCCATGTCACGACAGATCCATCACCAAGAATGGCAGCAAAAGCGAAGCGAGTGGCTTGGATCTGCTCTACATTGATTAGTTGACCATTCACTGCACTACTGTCCCCACCCCGGCTGGCAGCGCCCCATGTCAGGACGGATCCATCACCAAGAATGGCAGCAAAAGCACCGCAAGAGACTTGGATCTGCTGCACATTCTTCAGCTGATCCTGCACAGCGCTAGCGTCACCACCAAAGTTAGCATCACCCCATGTCACGACAGATCCATCGCCAAGAATGGCAGCAAAAGCGCCGTCAGAGGTTTGGATCTGCTGCACATTCTTCAGCTGATCCTGCACAGCAGTACTGTCACCACCAAAGTTAGCATGACCCCAGGTCACGACGTATCCATCGCCAATAATGGCAGCAAAAGCGCCG